CCATGTAGGCTTGCATCTGTTGGAAGGTTCTTAGTATTCCTCTGCTCCTGAGCTCATGGGTGTGGGAAGTGCCTCTCGTTCGTTTGGCCTCGCAGACTCTCTCCTGGGTATGCATCGTTTTGCTTTAGTGCCTTCTCACGTTTTCAATCAGTAATTGTGCCTTTATCGACTTGGTTTAGGACAGACGTCGATGTAGAAACCACAAGGATAGCCATATCTGTTAAGAATCGTGCGAGGCTACGTTCCGAAAATGAAAAGGAAACGAGGCATGGTGGCCTTGAAAGAAGCAAGCTATCTACAGATACGCTCAGCATGTGGAAACTGCGGATTCCTTCATAAGTTCACTTGATGTCGGTAGCAGTAACTGCGGACAGTGGAGCAGTAGTTGTGAAATCCCTGGAAAAAGACTCTTACCCTGACCTCGCCTTTATTCATGCTATGGTAATCAGTTTAAACTGATACAGAATCACATATTCATGGATTCCATACGCACGGTAAATCGATCACTGCAGTTAGTGACTTCTTGGAGTCTATTACTTCGCCTTAGCTAAATCTAAATTTAAATCCCTGATCTAAAATCAGTCTAAAACGCAAAGATAATTCGTCCATGCACTATCCTAAGAGTGAATATAAAAATCTTGATTACAAAAAATAATAGAAGTTCGAACAGGATAGGCGAGCGATAGCATATACACATGATTTAGACTTTATCATGGACAGAACAACGCTGCTCAACAACATTGGATGTTCATATAAATGTGGAAACAGAAAGGAGACTTGATGTGGTTCAAGGAGGGGGGGTTGTTTGGAAGACGCATGACCAGACTGCGAGCGTTTATTCATGATGTCTACGTTTTTCAACATACGCCCGAGAGACCTTGCAATGCAGGCATCATTGAACCAATTCTTCTCTCCATCAATTTTGAGGCTGCATTACACCGCAGAGTGTTTCATGGATTCCCCTCATACGATCAGACAATAACGCCTCATCTCATGTAAACGGATGGGAACCGTTTGTGCGAAATTCCCCGTCTCAAGATTACTGTTGTATGCTGGGACGAGGAAAGAGTGAGATCCGAGTAAGAATGATTACTCGGAGATGTCACAGTATTGACTCATCTCATTTGAAGATATCCAATTTCAGTATACCGTTAGAATTCGGCAATCATTCATGCCTTTCAAAGCAATTCTTAAGATCCAAGTCCTTGTTTTTCTTCTGAGGGCCTTTCGCTCTAATTTGCATATTTACGTGGGTCCTCTAGTTACTGTCATCTCCCCCTCCCTCCTTTTAATGGTGTTCGCATTGCGGTCTATGTCGTGGGCTACCCTTGCAACGGGTGAGAATCCAGTCACCGATCCAGTCAATGCGCGTCCTTGGTATCCCAAGTAGGCATATCCCAATTCGAGGAAGAGTTGATTCGGTTCCAATTTGTTCAGACCGGTTCAGTACTCAATGGAGGTTCTTATCTGCCCTTCCTGCACCCTGATTTTGGTGCCTGATACCCATAATCTGCCGTGAAGAAACGAGAAAATCCATGCGGAAATATGGGTTGTTCGGTACGTAAATTATCGATATCGATTATGTCATTTTTGCATTTTGTTGGTATTTATAAATAAAATGAAGTTCGTATTAAGAACTGCATGACAAAAGATAACGAAAGGAAATCAAACCTGGTCTGACAGACGATAACTAGAATAATTTCTACGATACGATTTAAAAAAATACGCATTTTTACAACTCGTATAACTGATCTCAGGAAATGCTGAGAGGATGAGTATGAAATCTGGTCCACTAGAGAGTATTAGCAGAGGAATGAAATCGGCCGAAAGAGGAGTTGATACGGAAGTGTGAACGTGACAACGAGAAATTTTATGTAAATAAGGTATTATGGTCTCTGATTCACGAGGCTATCTCGAAGCGATAAGTTATCGTAGCATGGCGCAAAACTTTGCATATTATTCATCATATCTGCATTGCAACGTGGTCTGAAAGGGAAGCGTCTGCATCTTGTGTGTGTGGGACGGATAGACCCAGAAAGAATTTCGCTTCTGAATGGACTTCGTCCCTATTGCTAGTGCCAGGTCACATGATTTCTTATCATCGGCACTTTCATGAGACTCCATTTTCTGAGTCCCCCTCCCAGCTGTTTCTCCACATCGCAGCTCGTGTTTGTGACGGAGGTGTTGCATTCCCATTTATGGAAGCGATTTGATATACCACGAGGGATCTGCGCATCTCCGCGCCGTCATACCTGTTCTCTATACGGAGAGAGGAGAGACAAAGTCAACAGAGAGAAAGGAAGAGGATAAATATTTGTGGAGGTTCTTGAAGAACGGGGTGACATGGAAGGCACGGGTTTTACACGATGCGATGCATTCGTCTTCCTCCTTCTTCTCTTGGTGGAATGCAAGAACGTAGATTAACGCTAAAAAAAGGATCGTGGGGTTAGCTTCTCTCATCTTTCCACATAGATAATTAGCATTCTCGGAAACGAGCGAGAATTGTAACAAAGTTGGTGCAAACATGCCATCACTCGAGTGACCTTTTCAAACAGGCGCGATTGCTTTCTTTCGAGGGTTTTTGGGACGAAGGCAAAGCATTACGTACTCCATACTCAGAAGGATCAGGTGATCATTTTGACTGCAGCCATGATGTGATTCCTCCTTTTTCGAAAGAGAACCCACTGAAAAGGCGATTGGTATGCTTGCTTTGACGCATTCATTCTCTAATTACCCTATCTGAAATAACCGAAGTGGGGGATGCGGGCCGCTTCCCCATATGGCCCCCTCTTCCACGCACAGGTCCGTCATTCCCCTTCCACGAAACGACACCGCAGGGCCATCACCGCGCTCTGACGACACAAGTGACAATTGATTCTCCCATCAGAGAGGTCTCAAGATGCCTTTTTGTCACCCCAAGGCGGTGAGACGTCGTACCAAGCAGGGGATGAAGTCAGGGTTCAGAACAAGCGCTCCTGTTGCTTCTAGATAGAAAATCGTGAGAAAAGACGGTATCGGGATCGTAAAGCTCTTAACGGATCTTGTTTACGATGATCTCCAGAGAGCCGGCTAACTTGCAAGACGGAAACACTCAGTTCCCCTCGAGTACCAGCACCACTCGTGATATTCCACTTGGGTCCTCTTTGAAGAGCACCGATCTTCGCAGGGACACGTAAAATGCTTTTCAGGCATTGCCAGATAAAATTTCATATAACCAACCACAACCGGATCAAACTTGGAAGTTCTCTTTTCCCAACACGTCTACAAAAAAATCCAAAGGGTGTCATTTTAACTCCCTAGGTCCTTTTAGGTAGTCCTAAACGTTAATATACGACCAGCCGTATAAACTATAAGGTTTAATCTTTGCGACTATTTTTTTTCTTAAATCCTCGTTCATGCATTCCTCTCTGAACAGAGATGAAGGCTCCCTCCTTGTCCATTCAGGCCGTTGACGAACGGTTCTCTTTTGGAACCGTTCTTCCCCCCTCGCCCTTATCTTTCATATTATCTATTTTCATGAGAAACTCCCGGCGATTGTGTGAACAAGAAGAAAGTGGCGGTCATTTACCAGATCCGCGGGTCTCGCGTTATGGAGTTTCGGGGACACAATTCCCTTGTCGGAACTGCGGGCTAAATTTCACGCTGTGACCGAACCGATATGGAGATGATTAGATGCAGTAGATGCCGATATGAGTCAGAGATATAATAAGTGGTTCGTTGCTTTGGAAATGTGCCTAGACGGTCTCCTCGGTCTTCAATAGAGAGGAAGTATGAGCATGGGTTTGTTGTCATATTCGGGCCTTCAAGATCTTATCCCCCTTGCGCAAGCAACAGCATGACTTGGGAAAATAAAACAGAAATAAAAAGGATCGCCTCTAGACTTGCCATTATCCATGCTCTCGACGTGTTTGGCATCCACATGTCACGTAATACAAAGTCCAGGCTCGTCAATTAAGGCCGAGGGGAGAGTTTGTCGAGTTATTGTGTCATTTTTGATAATGGGACCTCTGTGTTCGTATAATGATTACAAGGGGCTCATCCACCCACGCGCAGGTTTGCCTTTCTCCGAAACGAATTGTCATAACGCCTATCCCTCATTTTTTGATAAATGAGAGGACCGCTCCCCGATTCCCCATTGTCCCCAGTTATGAACGCCCAGCATGACCTCTACCCCTTTATGAGCAATATATCCGTTTCTTATTGACTCGGCACTTCTGCCCGCTTCGTGACGGGAAAGAATTCCCGGGGCGCTGGGTCTGTGAGGTACAATCGAATACCCTAAATTCATGTCGCTAGAAAGTACGGAACCTTGACCTAATTACATCTGCTTCTACAGCATGTGCGAGAAAGGCAGTAAAAAATATCAGATATGCGGAAGAGAATAGAGAAAATAACACCTTCTGGTGCAGAGTATTTGTACTGCGTTGTCTTTGTCGACCTAAAGTTTGACCTGAATTTCTTTCCTGTACGTCTATTCATTCGCTTTGCATCGGAAAGGGCTTTGAAATTTTCCTGCATCTTGGGCCGCAGGGGGTCTTGGCTAATCGAGGCTCAAAGAAGGGATCTCAACTGGAAATTCGTCACGTGTCGTGGTTCCGTTCGAGACAGTACTTGAGATTGTGTAGGTTCAAAGGGATGGGAGATGAGAGCGAATTCAATGGACTGCGGGGATCGTTCAATGTCGGACTCGCGTGTGACTCAGCGGACTGTGTGGCAAAGGTTTATCCTCAGCAAGGCCTTGTGATTCATACGGAAAGTGAAAGCATTATCAGCGGAGACCTCTACAATGTTATTACGTAAAATCGACAAAACCCGGCGCCCCGACGCGGATTTCGGCCAGATTTCCGGGGTATCGGGGTATTCCGATCCGGGGAATCTGATGACGTGGGTCCGGAAGAGATCGGACTGGACCCAAGCGAGGTGACGTGGGGTCAGAGGACCAGGTGGTCACACGGCCCTCAAGGGAAGGCTAGTGGCCATCGCATGCTGACCTTGAATCCATGCCGGGCCTGCCGAGAGAGCCTGCTACTCCGGGCTCACCTGACTCCCAGATGACTGCGACTTGCACTCCATCTCGGGGCCGGCGGAAACCTCAACCCTGTCTTCAATTTAACGCCTTCCTGCACATCCTTTCTCTTATAAACAAGCAAAGAGTATAGCACGAGCCGTTTCCTTCAATCTTATACTTTGTGGGGCCGTACGAGAAAGTTATTGGAGCTATGTGACGCTCTTCTTTTCTTCACGGTGCATTTTCCTTGAATCCTGCATTAAATCCATCGTTTATCGAATAATTTTAAGTTTTTTTCTTAACGAAAATGAAAGCCGTTGAAGTCGGAAGTATACTTGAAGCTTGGCTGCTTATGTGACGTCGGCAATCGTAATCAGTACTTCCTCGTTTGAGAATTTGTCAACGGCCCTGAAGGTGTGTGCAAATGACGCACTCGGGGAAGAACGTGTGGAAGTAGATGGCAAAAGGGCAAGGAGGCTGCAACCTAGAAAAGAAACGGGCCGGGATTACGTCATGAAGCATGCGTGCATGTCATCGATCTCCCCCCCTCCCTGACTTCCTTCTCGTTTTTTTTTTCCTCCTCTACCAATTTCATACTTTTCGGAGAATCATCTTTCACGAATTTCTTCACGCTTGCTTCATGCGCGAGCAGCTGCGGGACACAATAGAACTTCCCGCGATGAGGGAATCTTTTATCCCCTGTTCACCATTCCTGACTTCTAAATTAATTCGAGAGATCCCGGGAAAGCGGCTGACGGGTCGAAGACAGAGTGGAGTTGAATAAGATGGAAAAGGATGAAACAGACAGGGTGTGGCAGGTGGGGGCGGGATATATGCATCAGAAACCTGCCAGCTCTTATCCCAGGAACGACGTCTTCTGACCTCCGCTTGATTGAAAATTGCCCACTCAAGCTTTTCCCTCACCCATGCCTAATATCGACGTCGTCCTTTGCGTTCCCTTCATTTCGGCCCGTACCCGGTACGAGGTTAGGAATAATAGATGTTGCTTGCAGGGTAGAAGGACAAAAGACGTGAGTCACCCGTGTCCATTTCTGGACACTGGCGCCATCTCATTACCCCCCTCATTCATCCTCAAATCACATATTCACTTTTTTATGTTCTCCGTAACCCCATTTCAGAGCATGCTTACATGTCATATTCATGACCTGCACTTCGGTACTTTTCTGGCTGTATGAAGCCCTAATCGCGAGTAGCGCCATCTCGTCGAGGCGAGCTTGCTCGAACAGTGCGGAGTCGCTATGATTTACTGCTCCAGTCGAGAGTTCCAGGTCACAGAAAGCACTTTTTCCACGTACAAGTCGTCATTCGAGCTCTCTGATCATGATTGTGGTGGTCGCTGCTTTCGGTCGAGACAGGGGAAGGAGAATTGACCCTCGGAGCAGTTTCATTTCATTTATCATCTCAAGGCTCTAGCAACTTGTCCTTCGCCCCTATTAAGTCTCCCTTTTGTCCAGCCAATATATCAGTTGGGATCTTGGGTGCCTTAATAGAGACGACGTTTTGGGAACGAAGTCGGGGAGAAACACGGTCCGATAACGCAGAACGATAAGCCTCATTGATTTCAATGCCTTCTTCAAATCCGGCTTCTGCCCCGACTTTTTTTATTCTCCCCCAGAGGTCCAAAAAGCGAACGAAGACGTATGTGACGTAACCCCGAGAGATTCGTCAACATACCGCCTTTGATCACCCCGATGTCATGTCGCATTTTGGGAGACCCGAGTCTCCTGGCGAGCAGCATGCATAAGGCAAAAGGCCTTTTTTGACTGCACGAGAGAAAGGCTGTAGGGTGGTACGAGGGCGTGGGCCAGATGCAGATTACGAACCCTGTTATCATGACAGTCATCAATTCGGGAGAAGGTGGTTGCCCTTCCTAAATCACCCCTCTCCCTCACATCACTCCTCCTCAATTTAGGCTTTTGAAAATTGTTCTAATTTTTTTTCCCCCCATCATCGAAGGACAGGTTCTGTCCATTATGACTAATGCCTTTAAACCCGTCAGAAGTTAGATAGATTTCGTGCTCGAGTTCATGGAATGACTCAGTCACGATTCCGGCGGCGCTCATCAGGCGAAAAGGGAGAGTTTCTGGATTCCGCATGGGACGAAATGAACTCAGAAAGGGGAGAAAGTTTTTGAGGGCGTAATTTGCGGTCAGTTGGAAGAAGGAATCTCAATCTCGATGTTGTGGCTTCCGTGTGGGTGGGTGACAAATTATTCCATCTTTCCCTATCTCCTGCGGGAGTCATGACGGCATGCGTTTCGTTCTCCCTTCCTTCTGTTCGCCGTGACCTCAGTCAACAAATTGGAGATGATGACGGCATGCTGCCACTGCTGATCCGCATGTCGATGAGTTATTTGCTTCTCTCTCTCTCGTGTTTTGCCCCAGTTCGGTGGAAAACCAGCCTGGCATTCTCCCGACGACGCGTGTCTGCCTCTCTTTCTTCTTTTTCATTTCCTCGTTTTTTACTCTGCCGTGATTGTGTCTCGTGCATCGATGAAGTGGGATCAGCTTTTCCTCACTTTCCCAACAGGTTCACGACAATATTTTTCTTCCGATTTTGTGGACGAGGTTTTCATTGCGCAATCAAGGACATTGTCTAACACGGCGCGTTACTAGCAGGAGCCACGATAATAATAAATTTATGGCTTTATGGGGCCTCAGCACAGTCCAAGTTGAATTATCTTGCTGAGTAAGCAATCATCTCTGAATTGCGTGCAATCAGAATTTCTCCACAACTTGACAATGTCATAGATTTAGGCAATCAGGCTGGATAAGCGCTGTCGAGGGAGGTTATTTGAAAGGCCAACTGGTCTATATGCAACAGATGACCGAGACACAAACGGTTGGTCTAATAATGCACATGGTTTTCTTTCATGGAAGACCGCCATTTGTAGAAATCTATTAATTGGAGTACTGGTCCATCTATACATTTCTCTTTCCCTCGCATTCAAGAGGACAAGTCACGATAACTCTAGAACTCATTCACTCTGGAGATTGAGAAACTAATTTTTTGCCGATAGAGCAGTTTTTCTTTCAACCTTTCATTTCCTTCATGGAGAATATCTGAGCATGATTCAGAGTTCTTTGATTCTTATTTAATATATCCAAACGATTCAAAGTCAGGGATAGACGAAAGCTTGCAGCAAGAATTTCACAACTTTTGTATCTCGCGAGTGGAAACATCATCTGCGACTCATTTCTGTTTTTCTTCCAGCATTGGACACGGCAAACGTGACCGTGAAGAAGCAAGTGTTCGAACTCCTGTCGGCCCTCTGCGTGTACAACAACGAGGGATACTTTCGAGCCGTCGATTCCCTCGAACACTACAAGGTATGTCGGCTCGACTGCTCTCACGTCCCGCTCCGTGATGTAATTCTTGGTGGCGTTCCTCGAAGGACTGCGGGAATGTCGTCATGGGGGATCGGTCGTAGCTCGTTGTATCATCGGCTTTCCCGCCGTGACGTCACGATGAGAAAAGCTCAACTCAGCCCTGTTGCATGCGTGTCTGTGCCACTCGAAGGGCACCGATAGGATTTTTTCGAGTATCATTGACAAGTTTACCTTGGGCAAGTCTCGATTGTAGCCCCCGTGTCTTGCGTAAATTACTGCAATTGAAAACTGGCATCGGATATATCTTTATTTTTCCCTCTCGTGGAAATTTCATTCACATTGCTATTGCATTAAAGCAATTTAAAACACGACCAAGCCCGATGGTGAAGCATGATCAATCTAAATATATAACCTCAATTCTGTTGTGGAATTTATTAGCAGCTGCTTTTCATCTGTAAATATAGCAAATGGAATGTTCTTTTCTCGAAGACTCCCCCAGATTGTAATTTCGTTGATGGCCATCACAAACAATCTTCAAGGCATTTGAAAAATAATAGGAATACCATAAAGACGGTAAGACGTACGCTTGAATAACGACCCCTCGTTGTAAAAAGAAAACGAGATTTTGAAGAAAATCTGGATAATCATAAGCAGCGAAGGAGAGACCTATGCGAGTAGCACCCTCCTGCACCCTGCCATACTCGCTACGAATTTATACTTTTGGGATAATCTCATAGATGTCGCTTGGTCGCAGCCGCATTCCATTCGGCTGACCGGATGCGAATTTGGTTCGTGTTTGGTTCTCATGGCGAAGGACATGGGTTCGAAACCAACCACATCAGGCATTACTTTTTGTGCAAGTTTTTTGGAAAGAAGAGAAAGAGAGAAGATCGTGTGTCTAACGAGATGTAGGGGTGAAACAATGGTGAAGGCTGATCCTTGGTGACACATTTCCGGAGTCGGATGGATCCATCTGACTAAATTGAGTCATCTACTCTTAAGAAGCGCGAGGCAATACAAGCAAAAGTTCTGGCCCGAGAAGTTCTTAGCAGTATTGTCGAAACTGATTGCACAGCAGGGCGGATTCGTGCCTTGTTCAGCGTGTTTGGCGATGGTTGAACACCCATAGTCGTCTTGGCAGTTTATCGTCAGAATGTCTTGTAGACTGACTGCATTCTGGTCGTTATGATTTCACATCTACCCCACTTTTCAAAGGTTTTAATTGTAAAGAAGGTCGGGTAAATGTACTAGCTGATGACTTCCGATGCTTTGAGCAACAAAAGAACTTTCTCTTCTGAAGTCCTTCTGATAATAAAAAAAAAGGTATTTTCCCACGATGACGGGAACGAAGCAATTTCCAGTCCTCAACTTCCTGGGACTTATCTATTACTGACTGCCCATACGTCTTCATTAGTTCGAGTCACAATGTAATAGGATTTACTTTATAGCATGAAAATGTTATGTATGGAACCAAGGCAAATGGGCCAAGCGAGATTTTCTTTGACCGTGCTCGCACAATGGAAAGAGCTTCTCTGTGCAACCTGCTTGGGTCTTAGGAAGTTAATCTCTGCCTTTTATGGAATTGGAGATTGAGCAGTCTTGAATAAATATTGTCATGCAAAATGGGTGTGCATAATAAAAAAGGATAACAGCATGTAACTTCCCCTTATTCATAATATAAATAAATAAAAAAACAGAATGAAGAAGCCTTACCTTTCCTTACCAGTATGAAGGAGTCGATGAGTTCTGGTTATGGAAGTAATTTCATCTCATCCCAGATCAAGAGTCTCTCCAGTCCAAAATTATGGCCCACAAAGAATAGATATGCAATTTGTGCTGAATGTGACTGCTTGTACTGGCGTTGGCAAAGAAAGTTCGTGACGTTTCCCTCTGGGTGGAAGGTGGAAACAGCAACATATTCTCGAGTGTCATCCCTGTTCTAAGAGCGAAGAAAGTAATGTTTGTTGGAACGTTTTTTCCCATTCAGAACTTGAAAGGGGAGCGTTACAGGTTCAACGTGGTGGTTAAGGAGCTTCGAAATGCGCCTTCGGTCGAGTACAAGACTGCGCTTGTTGCGTTCATCAATTGTGTCATCATTTCCACCCCGGCCATCAAGGATCGCGTCCGGATACGGAATGAGTTCCTCGGTCAGTTTTCTCCTTCCCCTAATGACAGCATTATTTATGAACTGATTGCTGAAAGCAACAAACCAATGTGCCATTCCTGCGTATAAATTGTGTATGGGTTTGGTCCCTAGCTCAAGTAACCGAGGTTCATTTCTGCATCTTTCTTTCTTTCCAGGCCTCAAACTCCTCCCCATTCTCAACGAACTCAGGTAAATTCCTTTTTCTATTTTTAGCTGGTTTTCTGGTCTGTGGTAACAAGTGTGCCATTCTGTCTTTGTGAATGGGTATGCAGTTTCGTGCGATTCGGGGAAGCGTTCTACGTTTCAAAAGGAGGCCGCATTTATTTTGACTCCAGAGATTTAGGTAGGAGAGGTAAAAAATGAGGGGAGTGAACTCGGACGGTTGCCGATCGTTGGCATCATTTGTCGAAGCACAACATCTCATCTTCTCTCGCCTTTCCCCCCCATCCAACACATACATTCACTGATCTATAAATACTTCTTTTTTTCGTGTGCGAGTGTTATTCCCCTCCCCCCACTTAACCTATTTGCCACGTGCCTGCATGCCTGGATATAATCCGGGAGTCACTTCTTATTCCTTCCCTTGCCATTCCCGGAGGTTTTCGGATTCTTTCTCGCATTGGGTACATCACCGACGAATGACGATCATCCGGATCTTCGCTCTGCGGAAGCTGTCGACGCCGATGCCTTTCGCTCCGCGCGCATGTGAACGAAGCGAAGGAATGGCGAAGACGGGGTGTGACATTGGGGGGAAAGGCGATAAGGGAGACCTCCTATTCCTGTTTAATTTGAGAGAAAGAAAGATGGACTCTGTTCGACTTGAACACGGTCCATTCTCGTCTCCTTGCAGATTTTCAGTACTTGCATTTTTTTTTAATGTCGACTTCTTTATCCAGATTATTGACATCCTACGAGTAGTAGACCTCGTATATGACGGTGAAGAGGACCATAAAACCTGTCCAAGGAGGGAGGTTTGACCTTTGCGATAAGCAGGAAATAATAAAGCCCTATGGCGTTGGAAAACTCCTTACAGGACACCCTAGGACAGCAGGTTTCTCATCTTGCGTCATTGAGTCCCGTGACTGACTACTCGATGCGGCGTGAAATGGATGAGGTGGTGGAACTGTGGCAGGTTAAAGACATGAGACATGTGATGAGGGTATAAAAGTGAAGTCACAAAGGCAGAGGGGGGTGGGGTAAGGGGAGGTGGGGAGCTCAGGTCGAACGTATGGGTTGGCACCGTTCCCATACCGTGTAGTATAGAAGCATCTATGCATGGCTTAACGTAGCAAAGTGCGAGGTGCAGGGAGCGCGTTGGAAGTTCTTCCGGCTTCCCTCACTTTTACACCTGTACTTGTGTTTATACAAGTATAGTGTTGCGACCGCCTGGCCTGCCTTGGATTGGACAGAGTGAATGTCGCCACGTTCCACTTCCCAGTCCTGCTTGGGTAGCAGGTTTGTCCTCCGCCTGGGGATTCAGAGGTCCTCCTTCGCTTTTCTCTCTCCATATGTCTTTTCTCCCCTCCATCCTCCCTTCTGCGAATTCTATGGGAAAAACACGGCTAGTTACATCGCAGATGTCCCATTTTAATATTCACTTTCTTGGCCTTTCATTGAATTATGCTTTACATATGTGTAATGAGGCAGAGTCCACGACTTTCTTTTGTGTCTGGATTAATTTCGGAAGGACAAAAATGGAAGCCATCGATCCTCGCGTTCGTTGAGGAAAAACTCAGTGTTCGTCAAACCTTGCGTTTAGCGCATCATCTGTCGCTGCATACTGCGATTCTATACAGATCACTAAAGAATATTTTCCTTCTCCGAGAGCTTCATATATAGCGATTAAACCCTTATCTTTCCCAGTCTTTAATGAGGATGGGATGTTTGCAGGAAAGAGGCAAATCCGGACTCAGCATTGGCTGTACAACTGGACGTGTTCGACGAGCAGAAAGAAAACGACGAATCCCAACTGTCAGGACCCTCTGGAGTGGACCTCACCTCTCATCTCGACTGTTTCTATGCCATCTATAATCAGGTATTGGGGCTATTCGTACTCTTTAGCACCTTAAACACGCGGCTCTTGGTTTACCTTTAACAAGGCAGAAATCCTTGTCCTTGCTGACTTCTATTTACTTCCGTCATGCAAAAGCGACTTCCGCGTTCGAGACCTTTCCGTATTCTTGTGGCTATTCTTCAGTCTCCGTTTTTCAGCCTCTGTAGAAAAGAAATCCGATAAGATGGGCGGAAGGCTTGGAAAGTTGGAATTACCAACTGTGAAACTTCCTCAGGTCCTGTTGAGCTCAATGGTCCTTGCTAATCTCATGTGACGTACTGAAAAATAAATGAATGAAAAGGAATGAAGTATTGTAGGAAGGACCACGGATCGCTGCTCTTATTTGCTTAATTAAAGAAAGGCGTGGAAAAGGGGGGAGTCGATGAGGCATGAGATGATACTTGGGTTTGAAATTCCACGACAACGACGGTAGAAAATGACGCAATCTTTTCACAATTTTTCTTATCTGCAGGTGGTCGACACCCCTCAGGAAGTGCCATTCCTGAGCATTCTGCAACATTTGCTGAGTATCGATCCTAAGGAGCCGATCTCGGATGTTATCTGGGACACTGCGGAAGTGTTGGTGCATCGAGCCACATTATTGGAGGGCCCTCAAGATGCCCACCGATTGCTCCGCAGCCCATCCCAGGCGACCTGTCACGAGCCCGGGAGGAAGCGATCCCTGAATCTCAATCTGAATTCCGCTTTCCCCCAGACAGATGGGATGAAGACGCCCAAGATTCTTTCCCCCACGGGTCCTGCCCCACCTCCACCCCCTCCCCCACCTCCATCTTTGGGTCCTGTCCCGCCGCCTCCACCTCCAGGCAGAGTGCCCCCACCTCCAGGTGCGCCACCACCACCTCCGGGTGTGGCGCCTCCACCCCCTCCACCGATGGGATCCTCCAAGTCAGAGCCACCAGCGCCGAAAGTGGATCCCGAAATCGAGAAGATCATTCTCCCTCAGCAAGAGATCCCAACGCCCAAGAGTAAGATGAAGACCATCAACTGGAACAAAATCCCCAAGCACAAGGTACAGTCTGGCATCCACAGACGCGGAAAAAGAATGCGATAAATACAACTACACATTAGGCTGCTCGTTTCTTTTTTTTTCAGGTTGTGGGTAAAAATAATGTATGGAACATGGTGGCATCGAAATTCAAAGGGAAGCCGAAGAACGACTTAGATTGGGCAGGACTCGAGGGACTGTTTTGTGTTCAACCTCCTCCCGCTGCCCCGACTGTCGGGACTGTTGCACCTAATTCCCCGCGTCTTGACGAAAAGAGACGGAAAGAAGTTCAAGAAGTGAGTTCGAGTCTCGTCGTCTTTTTCCTTCTCTGAATCGTCTTGACGGTTGTCTTATTCACTTGTATTCTTCAGATAAATTTGTTGGATGGGAAGAGGAGCTTGAACGTGAACATCTTCCTCAAGCAATTCCGGAGGTAAATTCTTAAACCCAGTGTGAACTTGCACGATTCGGCATGCTGGGATGAGGGTCTCACTTCGTGGTACTTGTCTAGTTCCAACGAGGAGATCATGAGTTCGATCCGATCCGGAGAGGGAGATGATTTCGGAGCGGAGAGGCTTCGGGGTTTGTTGAAACTCCTTCCGGAACCGGATGAAATCGACATGCTTCGCACTTTCGATGGAGACAAGTCCAAACTCGGACCAGCGGAAAAGTTCCTACTCATGCTCATCGATATTCCCTGGTGAGGAGCCTCGTTTGGAAATGGAAAGTCTCTCTTGAGCCTCTATGTATGTTTTACAATGGACTCTGGTGGATTGCATGCAGCTACAAGCTGAGGATCGAAACGATGTTGCTGAAGGAGGAGTTTGGGACCCAGATGAACTATCTCGAAGCCTCCGTGAACGCTATGATCAATGCTGCCGAAGGTACGTTCTCCCTACTCCCCGCTTGCGTATCAAGACGTTCGTGATGATGGGTTGAATGATTATTGCACCGTTTGCTTGGCAGATCTGAAAAACAGCAAGGAATTGCAGGAGGTCCTCTTCATGGTTCTCGTCGCCGGCAACTTTCTCAATGCCGTCAGTGTTTGTGTTTCTGGTCGAATGCGATTTCCTTCCGTTATGCGAGTGATTGATCGATCGATTTATTGGAGTGCAGGGAGGGTATGCGGGGGATGCGGCAGGAGTGAAATTGACCTCGTTGCAGAAACTGTTCGAACTCCGAGCCAACAAACCCGGACTCACTCTCGTCCATTACGTCGTCATGGTTCGTATTTCTCTTCCCCGTTCCAGGAGAATCCTGTCTCGATTCTTACTTTTTTTCTCCCCCTTCTCCAGCAAGCCGAGAAGAAGAACAAGGACTTGCTCAAGTTCTACGAACACATGCCTTATCTAGAGGAAGCCTCCAAGTGAGTCAGGCTCTTTTTTTTTCCTTCTCTTTTCCGTCATGTCATGTCGATGACGATCGAGATACCCCTCAAACGGAGCAGATTGTCGATTGAGCAACTGAAGAACGAGATCTTGGCCCTGGATGGACGAGTGAAGCGACTGAGCCAACAGGTTCAGAATTCCCCCAACGACGTTCGGAGTCAGATGGAGCAATTCCTTCAGGTAATTTCCTTCAGTCGTAATTCTCATTCAGTGGAATGATACATTTTCGATGTTCATTGTGTTAAATCTTTCACTTTTGCGGGGATGATCAGAATGCAGAGAGTCAAATGTCAGACGTTCAGTTGGATCTTCAAGTCCTAGAGAAAGTCAAAGTGGATCTTGCCGAATTTTTCTGCGAAGATGTGGAGCACTTCAAGTTGGAAGAGTGCTACAAGGTATTAAAAAATATATACCTCTAAATGCATTTTGGGGGAGAAAGGCGCCTTTTCGTTAACGGGCATGGTTGGTCATTTTTTGGGGCAGATATTCCACACTTTTTGCTCCAAGTTCAAGAACGCAGTGATGGACAACGATAAGCGAAGACAGCAGGAGTTGCAGGCGGAGCTTAGAAAGAGATTGAGGGAGGAACAAAGTCTGCTCAAGAGGCGACCCAGTCTCGGTGTGGGATCCAATTCTGAATCTATGTTTTTTCATTCCAATGAGATGCCATCGTGCATCCGCCGAGGAAATGTGGGGCTGGAATCTCCCTCCCACGGCCTTAACCCTTTCGGATTCTAATTAGTATCATTCCATTCCTAGATATTATTTTTAAACAAAAACTTTCATCTCGTTTAAAATGCAAATCCAAAGTAATTTTAAAAAATGATATTGGCTTAAATGCCCAACTAAGTAGTTACCATTGTTATCATAGGGTCGGCACTGTCTGTGGATCTCTTGCTTCAGAACAAGTGCCTCATGAATGAATTTATGGGTGAAATATGTGTAATGTTACACTGATTTCAGCTTTTGTGAGCAAAAGTGTACTCGCATCGAGCGAGGACGGATAACAATTGAAACACCAGATAGGTGCTTCAATTTTTGCTGGTGCTTAAAATTATGCTGTTTCTTGTGGCACGGAGGTCCAGGAGGAGCAGGTCGACCGAGTTCGTTGGGTTCAGATTCCGACACGAACATAGTGGACGCCCTCCTTTCCGACATCCAGGCTGGCTTCTCGCAGAAGAACAAGGATAAGGTGAGTTCCCTGGCTGCCTCGTATGCGCGTCTTTAAACTCACGCAGAACGAATGCTTCTCCATGGACTGGTGGTCTCATAGCGTCGAAGTGGAGTCGGATTGATGAAAGGGATCCCGATCGAGGCAGATATGGCAAATCTTCCGGCCACCCCGAGACTCGTCAGGAGGAAATTCTCCAATGCCGGACCCGGACCTTCACCGGGACCCGTACTACTCTCCGCCAACGATGACTCTCCCGGTAATGACTTACTCGATGAACATGGCACTTTCTAGACGCCAGCGTGTGGAGAAGAACTATAGGAGGAGCAGGAGTGGGAATGGATACAGAATAACCAGTACTTTTCCTTGTACTTCCATAGAGGAAGGGATCACGCCGACGGGGAGCCTGAGACGAAGACGAAGCCGAGTGGCGTCAGAAGAGGAGAATTCCACCGGACTTCTCAATTTTCTTCGATCGGGAGGACACGATGAGACCCGAGAGAGGAAATCATGGGCCGGACCGCCTCCTGGTCTGTACTTTCTCATTTGCTACTATAGATGATATAAAATGACAAATATTGCCTTCCCTCTCAAATGGCTAAACCAAAAATTATGCGACACTGCGAGGAAAGTTTTACTGTCAATCGATGCCTTCTAATCATTTCACTTTGCGTGTCCAATAAGAGTCGAATGTCAAGTGGCTGGTGCTTTAGGTAATTACAGTAAGTGGAGAGAAGGTATTATTAAATACGGCTGCATCAATGACTTCGTCGTGATCTTGAACCAATCACCACGGAAAAGG